GGAGGGAGGGAGGGAGGGAAGGAAGGAAGGAAGGAAGGAAGGAAGGAAGGAAAGAAAGAAGGGAGAGAGATACTGACGAAATGGCCTCTTCCCGGTTCTCTCCCCAGGAGAAGCAGTGCCCAAACTGGGAATCCGCAAACTCATGCAGGCCTCCAGTAGCAGCCACACTGAAGTAACCCCACACGTTCTTGCTGCTGCGGAAATTCAGTTCCTGGACAGTCCCAGAACTCGGCTTAAACCCCTGGAGTCCAGACAGAAAATGCAAAATGGAAGAAATCATTACTCCAGATATATTTTCATCAGAATTCAGTCCTGGGAAAACCCAAGAACCCCTACCCTAACCAAAAGCTTAGCATAGGTTTTCATTATCCAGAATTGGAAATCTAACCTGTCTTCACTTTTATTTAAACTTTTTATATTCACCTCTGCAGGTGAAGAAATCTAGGGCGTCCCAGGCAGGGCCCTTGCTGCTGGGAAGGGGCCATTTCATCAGTATTTCCTTCCTTTCCTCTCTCCTCCCTTCCTCCTTCCCTCTCTCCCTTCTTCCTTCCTCACTTCCCCCTTCCCTCCTTCCTTTTCTACCCCTTCCTCCCTCCCTCCCTCCATCCTGGCCTACCTCACCCCATCGGCCAGGCTGCTGCCAACACACACCTGATCCCCTCTGGGGGAATGGCCTATCTCCGAGTACAATTTTGGTAAGAGTGGGTGGACATGGCACCTGTCACTGGGATTAGGGCTCCTGAACTAAGGAATGAAGGTTTCTGGGAGAGGAATGTAGAGGTGAGAGATGGAGAGACCCAAGTGCCTGGGCTGTTACCATACCTGGTCCTCCATCCTCCCAGGAATGTGGGAACTAGCCATCATCCCTCCAAAAAATTCCCCTTTTGCATGTCCACCAGAGTCAGTGTTTGGTTCATAGCCAAGAACCCCAAACAAATGCAGCTACCCTAGCTTAAAATTATTTAATTAAAAGGGGTGGAGGTGTACCCTCTCTTACCCCCAGGTTCCTGAGTGTAATAATTAAGCCATTAAGTTGTAGTAGATTGATGAGTCCTGTGATAATCAATGGTTGCTATGCATGTAAACTGTAAGGGATGCCAGTTGGTTTGTTTTTTAAGACCCAAGTAAGACCAAGTCACAAAGGGACTGTCTACAATGAGCCAGACTTTATACTGTGGCAAAAAAAGCACACGGGGCCAGAAATCCAAGGACTAGGGTTCTAAACCTGGCTGCTTGTCCCAAAGATAGGCATGGCTTTTGGAATCTACTGACGGGTCTCAGCAGGTCCCAGACGAGAGACAGGAAGCAAGTTACCCCAGGCTCTTTGCCTGTAATGTGGAGTGACAATGTCCAGCAGCAGGAGTTCCTATAAGTGAGCACTGAGACACGGGAAGGCTCGGCCCAGAGCCTGGCAGTAATCCAAAAATCCAATAAATCCAGCCGGGTGCAGTGGCTCATGCCTGTAATCCCAACACTTTGGAGACCGAGGCGGGAGAATCACTTGAAGTCAAGAGTTCGAGACAAGCCTGGCCAATATGGTGAAACCCCGTCTCTACTAAAAATAGAAAAATTAGCCGGGCATTGTGGTGGGCACCTGTAATCCCAGCTACTTGGGAGGCTGAAGCAGGAGAATCGCTTGAACCTGGGAGGCGGAGGTCGTAGTGAGCCAAGATCACATCACTGCACTCCAGCCTGGGTGACAGAGTGAGACTTCATCTCACAAAAACAAGAATAAAAATAAATAAAAATCCAATAAATCCAATAATCCAATAAGCCATGGCATGCCCCTTCCCATGCCTCAGTTTCCCCATTTGTAAACTGAGATGCCTGGATAGCTTATGGGTGTCTCTTCTCAGGCCAACATCCAGGGTCCCCACATGCTGGGAGATCTGAGATGGTGGAAACACAGGGGCCCGCATAACTTGCCTCATCTGGGTTTTCACTGGTGATTCTGGCGGCAATGACGTGACCTCGGGCGAGGGGAGGGTTTGACGGGGTTTCGAAAGAAATGGGAGTCACTCCCCATGGCGACTCTCCGTACAGAAGCCGGATATCCTTCAGCCGGTGCAGTGGCACGCCCATGGCGATCTAAAATCAAGAGATCCAACCCACAGACTGTCAGCCCTACCAGAACACGGCCCCAAAACACCAGGCACAGTGGTAGATGCAATAGAGGTTCAGTCAATGATTTAGGCTATACAGACACTACTCTATAGACAACATGGTGCTCTACTGTGGCCAGAAAGCCAAAGAAAGAAAAAGCCGTAAGGCATGAATCTTTCATGGTGGAGCAAATAGTACATTTGGGAAAAGGAAAAATATTTATGAAAGGACATCACACAAGAAAATACATGCATTAAGTAATACACGCACTAGACTTTTACAGCTAGGGAAGGTGAGAAGTAACCATGTTGGCTGTAGAGTTAAAGGAGGTTTTTGTAAAGGGCACCCAAAGATGAAACTGGACATGAAGAATTGGTAAAAAATAGACAATTATGGAACCAGCTTAACCAAATGATCAGAGTTAACATGCTTCATGATGGGATGTATTAAGGACACAACACCTGTGTAGCATTCTGCCAAAATGTGTAGCAGGAATTGAACAAGGAAGAAACATCAGAGAAATCCACAGTGAGGGACATTCTGCCTGAGCTCCTCAAAAATGCCAGTGTTCATGCCTGTAATCCCAGCACTTTGGGAGGCCGAAGCAGGCAGATCGCTCGAGCCTAGGAGTTGGAGACCAGTCTGGGCAACATAATGAGACCCCATCTCTACAGAAAAAATTAAAAAAATATTAGCCGGGCATGGTGACTTGCACTTGTGGTCCCAGCTACTCAGGAGGCTGAGGAGGGAGGATTACTCAAGTGTGGGAGGTTGAAGCCATAGTGAGTCATGATTGTACCACTGCACTGCAGCCTGAGTGACAGAGCAAGACTCCATCACAAAAAAAAAAAAAAAAAAAAAAATTAATGCCAATGTCAAGGATGAAAAAAGACTATGGAATGCTTTCAGATTAAAGAGATTAAAGACACATGAAAATAAAATGGAATATGTCACCCTGGGCTGGATCCTGGATTTAAGAGACAAACAAAAAACAGCCATAAAGAGACATTATTGGAACAACAGGGAAAATATTTAATGTGAATGGCATATGTTAGATATAGATGTGGTATCAATGCTATATTTCTCAAGTATCATAACTGCACTAGGGTATTGGACCAGAATGTTCTTGTTCTAGGGGGCCCTTAGAATGAAGTATTCAGAGGCCATATGTTACGAAGTTTCACTCAAACCATTGCTCAAAAGATTTAGCCCATGGCCAGGCACAATGACACACACCTGTAATCCCAGCATTTTGGGAGGCCGAGGTGGGCTGATCAATTGAGGTCAGGAGTTTGAGACCAGCCTGGCCAACATGGTGAAGCCCTGCCTCTACTAAAAATACAAAAATTAGCTGGGTGTGGTGGCGTGCACCTATAATCCCAGCTACTCGGGAGACTGAGGCAGAAGAATCACTTGAACCTGGGAGGTGGAGGTTGTAGTGAGCCAAGATTGCACCACTGCACTCCAGCCTGGGTGACAGAGAGAGACTCCATCTCAAAAAAAAAAAAAAAAGATTGAGCCCCCTAAAATTATACAAACAGACAGAAGAGAGGCAAAGCAAATGTGGCAACTGATGGATCTACATGCAGGGTGTATGGGTGTTAATTGTATCATTCTTGCAACTTTTTTGAAATCTTTCAAACTAAAAAAAATAGAGAAATTTTTTTTTTAATTCTGTGGAAGGAAGAAAAAGAGGAAGGGAGGAAGACCAGCCTGGGCAATATAATGAGATCCCATTATGGGAAGAAAGAAGGAAGGAAGAAAACAATAAAAAAATTGAGAGAAGAAATAAAGGACATCCAAATTGGAAAGGAAGAAGTCCAATTATCCTTGTTTACAGATGATATGATCTTAAAATTGGAAAAACCTAAAGAATCCACCAAAAAACTATTCAAATTGATAAAAAAAAAATTCAGTAAATCTACAGGATACAAAATCAACATATAAAAATCAGTAGCATTTCTATATGCCAAGAGCGAACGATCTGGGAAAAAAAATCAAGAAAGTAATTCCATTTAGGATAGCTACAAATAAAATAAAATCCCTGGAATAAACTTAACCAAAGAAGTAAAAGGTCTCGATAATAAAAAGCATAAAACATTGATGTAAGACATTGAAGAGAACACAAAAAAATGGAAAGACATTCCATGTTCATGGTTTGGTAGAATCAGTATTGTTAAAATTGTTGTATTACCCAAAGCAATCTATAGATTCAATGCAATCCCTATCAAAATACCAATGACATTCCTTACAGAAATAGAAAAAAAAAATCCTAAAATTTATATGGAAACACAAAAGACCCAGAATAGCCAATACCATCCTGAATAAAAAGCACAAACACTGGAGGAATCAAATTACCTGACTAGAAGTTATACTACAGAGCTACAGTAACCAAAACAGGGTGGCACTGACATAAAAACAAACACATAGACCAATAGGACAGAATAGAGAACCCAGAAACAAATCCATACATCTACAGTGAACTCATTTTTGACAAACTTGCAAAGAACATGCAGTGGGAAAAAAGTATCTTCAATAAATGGCGCTGGGAAAACTGGATATCCATATGCCGAATCATAAATGAAGAATCAAATTCTTCAAATCAAAATGAACTAGACTTAAATCTAAGACCTCAAATTATGAAACTACTAGAAGAAAACATTCGGGGAACTCTTGGGAATGTCAGTCTGGGCAAAAATTTATTGAGTAATACCCCAAAGGCACAGACAACTAAAGCAAAAAAGGAACAAACGGGATCAAATCAAGTTAAGAAACTTTTGCACAGCAAAGGAAACAATCAACAAAGGGAAGAGACAACCCACAGCATGGGAGAAAATATTTGCAAACTATCCACCTGACAAGGGATTAATAACCAGAATACATAAGCACCTCAAGGATGAGCAGGGTGACTCATACCTGTAACACCAGCACTTTGGGAGGCTGAGGTGGGAGGGTTGCTTGAACTCAAGAGTTTGAGACCAGCCTAGACAACATAGCGAGACCTTATCTCTACAAAAAATTTTAAAAAGTCAGCTGGGCATGGTGGTGTACACCTGTAGTCTCAGCTACTCAGGAGGCTGATGTGGGAGAATCACTTGAGCCCAGGAGGTCAAGACTGCAGTGACCCATGATCATGCCACTGCATTCCAGCCTGGGCAACAGAGCAAGGTTCTGTCTCAAAAACAAAAAAGAAGCTAAAACAACTCAGTAGGAAAAAGTCTAATGAATCCCATTAAAAATAGACAAAATATCTGAATAGACATTTTCCAAAAGAAGACATACGAATGGCAAACAGGCATATGAAAAGGCACTCAACATCACTGAACATCAGAGAAATGCAAATCAAAACTACAATGAGACATCGTCTCACTCCAGTTAGAATGGCTTTTATCCAAAAGACAGGCAATAAGAAATGCTAGCGGCCAGGCATGGTGGCTCAAGCCTGTAATCCCAGCACCCTGGGAGGCTGAGGCGGGTGGATCACGAGGTCAGGAGATCAAGACTATCCTGGCTAACACGGTAAAATCCCGTCTCTACTAAAAATACAAAAATTAGCTGAGCGTCATGGCGTGCGCCTATAGTCCCAGATACTCAGGAGGCTGAGGCAGATGAATTGCCTGAACCTGTGAAGTGGAAGTTGCAGTGAGCCGAGATCACGCCACTGCACTCCAGCCTGGGTGACAGAGGAAGACTCAGTCTCAAAAAAAAAAAAAAAGAAAAGAAAGAAAGAAAGAAAAGAAAAAAAAAGAAATGCTAGCAAGGACGTGGAGAAAAGGGGCCCCTCATACACTGTTGGCAGAACTCAAAATTATTACAACCACTATGGAGGACAATATGGAGGTTCCTCAAAAAAACCAGAAGTAGACAGGTGCCCAAGATGGCCGAATAGGAACAGCTCCAGCCTCCAGCTCCCAGCATTAGTGACACAGAAGATGGGTGATTTCTTCATTTTCAACTGAGGTACCGGATTCATTTCACTGGGGCGTGTCAGACAGCTGATGCTGGTCCACGGTTACAGCCTGACCAGCGAGAGCTGAAGCAGGGCGAGGCACCGCCTCACCTGGGAAGCGCAAGGGGGAAGGGAATTCCTTTACCTAGCCAAGGGAAATTGAGACACACAACACCTGGAAAATCGGGTAACTCCCACCCTAATACTGCGCTTTACCAAGGGTCTTAGCAAACGGCACACCAGGAGATTATATCCCACACCTGGCCCAAAGGGTCCCACACCCACGGAGCCTCCCTCATTGCTAGCACAGCAGTCTGAGATCTAACTGCAAGGTGGCAGGGAGGCTGGGGAGGGGTGCCCACCATTGCTGAGGCTTAAGTAGATAAACAAAGCTGCCAGGAAGCTCGAATTGGGTGCAGCCCACCGCAGCTCAAGGAAGCCTGCCTGCCTCTGTAGACTCCACCTCTGGGGACAGGGCATAGCTAAACAAAAAGCAGCAGAAACCTCTGCAGATGTAAAAGTCCCCGTCCGACAGCTTTGAAGAGAGCAGTGGTTCTCCCAGCACGGAGGTTGAGATCTGAGAACGGACAGACTGCCTGCTCAAGTGGGTCCCCAACCCCTGAGTAGCCTAACTGGGAGACATCCCCCACTAGGTGCAGACCGACACCTCACACCTCACACGGTGGGGTACACCTGAGATGGAGCTTTCAGAGCAAGAATCAGATAGCAGCACTCGCTGTTCAGCAATATTCTGCAGCCTCCGCTGCTGATACCCAGGCAAACGGTCTGGAGTGGACCTCAAGCAATCTCCAGCAGACCTACAGCTGAGGGTCCTGACTGTTAGAAGGAAAACTAACAAACAGAAAGGACACCCACACCAAAACCCCATCAGTACGTCACCATCA